TAAGATAGTAACAGCAAAGATCACTGATCCCAGATCATCATAACAGATATAATAATAATGAAAAAGTTTGAAGTATTGTGGTCATTATCAAAATATGACACAGGCACAAGTGAGCACATGCTGTTGGAAGATGGTGCTGATAGACTTGCTTGATGCAGGGTCACCACAAACCTGTAATTTGTCAAAAATGCAATATCTGTGAAATGTAATAAAGTGCAATAAAACAAGGTATACCTGTATGTTTTTTTTTTTTTTCTTTTTAAGAGGGAGGGTCTTACTCTGTTGCCCAGGCTGGAGTGCAGTGGTACGACCATAGCTCAATGTAACATCGAACTCATGGGCTTAAGCAATCCTCCTGCCTCAGCCTCCTGAGTAGCTGGGACTACAGGTGTGAGCCACTGTGCCTGACTACTTTTTAAATTTGCTGCCCAGACTGGTCTTGAACTCTCCTGGCCGCAAGTGATCTTCCCGCCTCATTCTTTCAGAGTGTTGGGATTACAGGCATGAGCCACTGCACCCTGTGTACCTGTATTTTGTATTCATTGTTTTTCTGTCTCTACAAACTCAAACAGCACATTTAAACCTTGATTTTCTTCTTCTATCAATTTTATGTGATGAGATCATGAATGTTCTCTCATGACCCTTCATTTGGTAAGATGAGGGCACTGGCCCTCCTAGTCTTTCCTCCACTTCTTCTCTTCTTTTTCCAGAATTTTCCAGCCTCTTTCAGCTGATTCTGTACATTTATATCACCAGAGGTGCCAGCATGGGTTGCTTCTAACAGTTACAGCATTGACAATATGTTGTCTGTGTATGAACGACTCGGTGCAAAGCCAAATAGGGTGCTTGGGTTTCTTCCCTCCGTGTGTGTTCGTTGCCAGCATCCCTGTGCTTCTTGAAGGAGAATATTTCTAGTATCTCATTTGAATGGATTCTCTTTTTTTCTGTATTCATGGCATTTTTCACCATATGGTCAAGTGTTTTCAGAAACCTCAATTATATTTCCATTCTGACGATTCCCCTTTCTTCCCTTCCCAAATCATTCTCCCGTAGCTCCCTGCCTTCCTGGTTGCCCAGCAAGCTTCCTTTTACAGGAAACATGGGAAACCAGCCTTTATGCTAGGGGAACTCGAAATGCCAGAACAAGGGAACTTTACTCTGGCAGAGTAAGTTTTGTGGTTCATCCCAGATAATTGCATTCTTTTGGAGAAGAATACTGATTTTATTCTCTGAAGGGTGAAAAAAATTTGACTTCTAGATGGTCTGTTTGCTTGAGTTGGGAAGAACGATTGTCTTCATATGTTGACTTTCACTTGCGACACCAGTGTTAAGCCCTACATCTCCTCACAACCCTTTGCATTACTTGGTTTAAGTGCTCAGAACCTTTCTGTGGTATCCTGACAAGGCCGCTTTGTCTGCGTGTGTACTCTGACAGAGTGATTCTGACCTGTGTCCTTAAGCTACGGGTTACAATGCATCAGGGAATCCCAAAGTCATGAAATAAATGTGGTGGTTCAAGACTGTGTTATTATAAAAGAATGGATTAGTAGAGAAAAATATCAGGATATCCTGCACATAGTAAGGTACACGCTGTTTTATAAAACTCGTTTTAGTTATACAAAACCACAGACATGTATGTAGCTATGTACTGGATCTCCATATAAATGTACTTCTTACTGTGGGTTGAGGTAAAAGAAGTTAGAAAGACTATTTTTTTAGGCCATGGTTTCCTCCACCCTGTTAAAACAGTCAGTGTTTCTCAGTGTACTTTGAATCTCTTAGAAATTTATTGAAATGTCTCGTGTGTTTATTAATGGGTGATATGAAGCGTGTTTTGTAACCTGCGTGGCACAGGTACTGACCAAGCGGAAGGAAGGCAGGAGCAGAGACCAGTGGTCTCCAGCTGTGCCGTATGTTAACTCCTTGTTTACAGGATTGAGAGGACATCTTGGGGGGCCCGGTGGAAAGGGAGGTCCCCCAGTGGAGGGCACTTAGGGGCTTGGGGCAGCTCTTCACCAGTCCAGAGTCTTCAAATATTTTAAACTGCTAGGGTGGCTGTACTGTTGTGTAACTGCCAAATATCAACTCTGGATTCATATCTTTTTTTTTCTTACCTATAATTTTAAGGACATCTTTCGAAGAAGGGGAGATAAATAGGTGTCCCCCAAACCATTTTGAACCAGAAGCCGTACAGTTTTTATTTTTAATCTAATTTTCTCTTAAGTTTAGTTCCTCCCCCTTTAAAAAAATAGTTACATTGCTATAACTAATCTCATATTCACTAGTGATAGTTAAGCCTTTTTTTTTCTGGGAGAGGAGGATTCGGGGAGGAAATCCCAACTTAATTAAAGGGAGAGGCATTTTTCCTGAAATACTAGGAGTAAAAGAAAGGAAAGGAAAAAGAGTTAAAGGGGATGTGTATTTGTAAGGCTGAGAGGTGGTCCAAAGTGGAAATAACTGTGAATGATGACATTAGGGAAGATGGTAGGCACCACCTATGAAGGGGAAGGTTAGGAAGAGAGAGGAGAATGGTGATTCCACTTAGTAAGTATTTGTGGCATTGAGTGATGGGGCAGTTTCCTCTGCTTGCCCCAGCTGGTGTACCATCCATGGCTTTGCCTCTGTCTCCGGCGCTGTGAAGCAGAGGGGCATCAACCTGACTGCAGATACCTGCCACGGGGGGAAGTGGGGAAAGAGGCGGATTGGTGGGCACCTGTGTGTAGCTCCATATTTGCAATGTGTTTGTAACCTGGGGAGTATGTATATAGTAGTGGGACCCAAGTACTAATTTCCTTAGTGGCTGAGGGTCGTTACTCAAGTTCTAGACCTGGTGCCATGTTGTCTTTCTTGTTTGTTTATTACCTTGCTGTTCTGTTTAGGGGAAAGGGGCCCATGCATATATATGCTTTCCGCTCATTTCTTGCTGTCCCTGCTTCGATTTTGAGGGGAGAGAAGGGAGGACCTCAACTGGAAGGCAGACCCAGCATTTTCACCTTCCTGGCGATGATCAGGGCAGGAATTAGTTGTAGTCGCCCAAGGTTTCCTGGAATGCTAGGTTTTCTTTTTTCTTTTCTTTTCTTTTCTTTTTTTTTTTTTTTTTGAGACAGAGTCTCACTCTGTTGCCTGGGCCAGAGTGCTGTGGCATCACCCTAGCTCACAGCATAGGTTTTCTTTTTCTGAACAGGAGCTAGTCTGTATGTCTCTCAGTGGGTCACAGCAACATAGTGACAGGGCGACAGCGTGCCTGGAGCGCAAGTGGCTTCTGAGGTGAGTGGGAGGGCTTCTCCTTTCCACAAGGCTGACAGAAGAGAATTGTGGTTCTTATCAGTCACCACCAGATGTGTCCAGCTGTTTCACTTTCTACTCTGTCCCAACCAAACATATTTAAAGTTCAAAACAACACTTACATCATCAAAATAAAAGTGTTTACAATGTTAAGCCTTAGGCTTTTAGTAATTTAGTCATTAGTCTGGTGACAAAGGGAGTGGCCTTGCGTGGTATTGCGTCTGGGAAAATCCAGGCCCAAGATGGATTTTCCAGGCTTTCTTGAGACCACAGGGTTTGGTGTGATAGGTCTAGATCCCTGACTGGTTAAGAGGGAAACACCCTAATCCCAGCTTCTTCTGTTCCTTCTCTCTCATGAATGCCTTGTCCCACAGAATAGTTCATTCGTCAGCCCCAACTAGAATGAATTCAATAGAGTGAGTCTATTCAAGATTCTTTTATTACTTGTGGTGAGACATTGTATGGGGGCTTGACAGTTTACTTTTTGCACTGACCTGCCATGGTGTCATTTCTTCCCCTTGTCCCTTGTTCAGTTAGTCCCTCCTTAGGGTTAGTCTTTTGGGTCAGATTACACTGGACAACAGGTTTCCTTTTAAAGGCTTCGTTTGCTGCTAAATACGCTGTTTTAACCATTTCAGTAGCAATTTTGCATATTCTGGAATTAGTTGGTGTATCTTCTTTATATTTTTCATTACTTATTAGTCTTAGCTAATGATTTCATTTCTCTTCCTCAGGGAATAATTGAATCTGGGCAAAGGCTTGTTATTTTAAAGTATGCATTACATGCACTTGGAAGAGCTCTGTCACAGAAAATAAAGGGTTGGGCCAGGAGTGTGAAAACATGGTAATCATGTTCAGAAGTCCCCAGAGGTCTTGACTTGCGTTATTGAAAAGATAATGAGATTATGATTAGTTACTGTTCTTGTTATTCTTAGGAACTAGTAATTATAAACCATTTAACTCTAATAGTATAATTTATATCATTATGAGATACAGCATAAAAAATTGTTTCCCTAAGGCATCATCATATTTCAAAAGGAAATTAAAATTATTTTATAATTTTTTTTAAGTTTTTGTGTGTTCAGATTTGTATGAGCATCTTTTTTTCCTCAGCCCTGTGTGGCAGAGATTCCATTCTACAGATTAGGAAACTGAGGCTTAAGGAGGTTGACCAACTAACCTTCCAGTGCTAGGCGGAGTTGGAAGGTGCCATGGTACCATACAGGCTCTAATTGTTTGTAGTTGATTTTGCTTAACTGATCCAGGTGGGCATTTCTCACATAATCCCCTTCCCGTCCTCTCTTCCCAGTTTTCCCCTTCCTGTTTCCGATGCTGCTCACTTATTTATGTATGTACCTGTTTGTATGTATATCTTTGTCTTTTTCTTAAATATAAATGCTGTGTGTTTTGCATGAAGGCTTATGGTCACTGTTTTCTGAATCCTCTGATAAAATCCACATGTGATGATCTATTTACTGTTATGCTTCTTGACTAGACGGGCAGAGTCCCTTTCATGTTGGAGATTTCCAAGGGTAAGTTGTTAGTTCCTTCCTTATATGCCACAAATGGTCAGCTATGGTATTTGAAGGGAACCATGCGCCTCGTGTATAATTTATGCTCCTTTCTAAATTGAATTAATTTCTTGTTCTTTTCTTCTTAGTTGACTTTTAAAAGGCCATTATTTATTTCCTTGTCTTTGTTTTGTTTCTTCCCAGAGTGACACCCCTTTCCTCACAGAATGTGAGGATACATCGTGGCCAGACCCAGGAATATGTGCTCCAGCCCAAGTACTTTCCAGCCCAGAAGGTGGTTTCAGGAGAGCAGTCCACCGAAGGTTCCTTCCCTTTAAGATACAGGCAGGATCAAGTTGCAGCGCCTTTTCAGCGTGAGTATAGTCTAGTCAATCATCTTCCTAAGTTATAATATCATAGTTTGGAAACACTTTGTTCAATTTCGATGGCTTTCATGTGTCACAGTAGATAAAATTCAAGAGTCATTAAAAAACCCACAGTGGTTCCTAAAACAACCAGACAGCAGATGTTTAGCATGGTTTCCTTCTTCTGAGGAAAGGCAGTATTCCTGGATTTTGGAAATGAATCTGAAATGCCCTGCCTGTAGTTCTGTTTCTGCAAGATGGCTCCATTTCTAAGACATATTTCCTCTAATTTTAGGCACAGTCATATGTCTGACATGTTTACATTGATAAAATATTTTCTTAGTAAGCTAGCCAGGATTCATTCCTTATGAAATGTCTGAAATGTCCTGCATGACTCTCTGAGGTTCACCTACTGTGGATATTTTTATGTTATAAGGTCCACCTCCTTTTTAGTATATCAAGCAGCTGGTGTGACAGATTTTACTCTGAAGTTGTAAAGCACTATTGTATCAGTGGCAAGCTTGGTTAATATCTCGCTATGTGGGAAGCTCAAGGACAAGTCCTGGCTCAAAGGGTGGGGAATGTGATGATTTGTGGTTTAGGTATTACAGAGTGTCTGCTGGCAGCATCTGGAGAAAACGTTCTGGAGCGAGGCGCAGACCATCCAAAGGCGAGAGCTAGACGCACACTCTCGTTCCAGCGGCTTCCTGCCCTGTCGCATGTTGACTGATTGCCTGCACCATAAGCAGTGAAAGGGAATGTCAGCTATGATGTGGAAAAGGACTGTCTTTCACCACCATGAATAGGGTGAAGGGCTAAGAGAGACTTTTTCCTACTGTTTGACACTTGGACTCCATATCTGTTGTGCGTTTGATTCCCTAGGTCTGTTCCCACCTCCCAGTTTCTGTACTGAACCTAGAGTGATTTATTCTTCTCTCATAATTGGTCATTTAACAAAAAGAATTTGAGATACAGGCTTGTACATCCGCTTTTCATCTTTTGAGAGTTCTGCGCGGTGACTGGTGGCTGGACCCCAGAGCAATAGTTTGGTGTGGTTTATTGGGAGGATGAGGAAGCATGCCCTTAGGGAAGAATATAGAAATCATTTAGATCATCTCCTTGCCTTTAGGCAAGATCACTTCCAAGTCATCTGCAAAAGAATGGATGTTACCTATCTTATTTTTTAAAGATCCTTTGATTTGTTACTTAATAGCTTGTTTCTCTTATGTGACTATCCCTTGAGTATATAATTTTCTAATCTTAATTTTAAAAATAAAAAAAAAAGATACTTCTTATTTCCTTTGGGGTTTCATTTAGATGATATTTTTTTAGAAGCTCTCCAAAATTAGAGTGTGATGGCAAGAGAGTTTTTGAAAGTTTATGGTCATACTGATGAAGAAGAGAATTCTGAATTACATGGAGGTGTCAGGAAAAGATGATTTGAGAATCGCTGGTATTAAGACTAGAGATTACACTGCTTCAGTTTGTTATCGATGATTTGTTATTGAAAGGAAAATTCCTATTGGGTCTGTGTAATGTATTTTAAACTCTCAAACCTTGGTCGAACTATTAAATATGTCGTGGAAGATGAAATCATATTTTAGAATTATAATTATCTGTACTGTTCATAATATTCCCACTCATCTGTTAAAATGTATTTTCTACATAGTGGGGATCTAGCAAAGGAATGTAGACTAACACAGTATTGCAATGATGGAGTTCTCAGCTCAGAGCCCCCAAAACATGGCTCTTGTGCAAAACGAGGCCCAGAAATTAACTGAGAGGGGCATATAGGAAGGACAGGAAGGGAAATGTGACCATTTTTGCTGAGGCCAGAGCTTTACTGAGAGCTGGAGGGCTAATTGGAAAGTTTTAAAAAGAGATAATTTGGCAGGACCATTAAGGATACTGAAATAGCAAAACTGAGGAAGAACCACAATGGGAAGACTAAAACTGGAAAGGAGGTGTGGGTAGTAGGAAGGACCTAAAAGTATTCCGTCTCCATACACTCCCACTTGAAGAGGAGGCTCCAGGGAAACCTTACATGGAACAGAAAGGAAGGAAAAATGAATAAAGAAAGTCTGAGGAAAAGTAGAAGCTTTTAGTATCTTTATTTTCATCTTTACAGAAGAGATCAAATGCAAACAGATTAAATTCTCCTTGAGCTGAAAGATTTGAAGGGCAAACAGAAGCTGATAATTCTGACTCTTAAATAGAAGATATTAAGATTAGTTGTGAATTAGTTGATGTATCTTGGGGTGAAGTCGATGGATTGGTGTGTGCCATAGCAGTCCACTGCTGTTAATTTTAAGAAGCTACTAGGACTAAAGAGAACATTTAGGTTGGCAGAAACAAGTCCTATTTTCCCCTTTTAAAGGGGATAAAATAAAAAGGTGGTTTACAGTAATTAATTACCAATTAGTAGGCTTAATATTGTTATCTTGCAAGTAGCAATAACAATGTATACTTAAGCTCTAAGTGCTGTGTAACTTAATAGCTCATCATAGGAGGAGACAGTAGTCTGCAAGCCCAGGGGAATAAGGATTTGCTATTGACACCTGGTGAGAGAAGACAGCATTGGTTAGAATAAGCAGGGAAGGGATGAGGGTAGAGGTCATGAATTTAGTGAAGTGAAATAGGTTAATGTGCCAAGTGTAGCACTCTCCAGATAAAACAAATTATTCGTAGAAGGAAACAAACCATCAAGTTGCTAGTAGAAGTGCTCTCTTTTGTGAGGAATGAATATTTTATTGGAATTCCTGGAGTTTTGGTATGATAACTGGACATCCCTGTCCGATGCTAGTTGGACCAGCACTGTTCCTGTTTTGGTTCTGTGTATTTACCGGCCTGCAGAGTTACTTCTGAGGTAACTTGCTATCCTGGGTTGGTTCTCTGGTCACTGCTAAAGGATCAGCTATACTGATAAATTAATACCTTGGTGCTCTGCTCTATGCATTAGTGTTAAAAGAATTTAGTTTGAATGAGTATCATCTAGAGCAAAGGTCAGTAAATTTTTCTTAAAGGGCCTGATAGTAAATATTTCAGGCTTGTGAGCCAATAGGCAAATTGAGATGTTATATAGGTACCTATACAGTTATTTAAAATGCAACCACTTAAAAAAGTGAAAATCAATCTTGTAGTTTGTAAAAAATTGGGCGACTGGCTGGGTTTGGCTAATGGGCTATAGTTTGCTGCCTCCTCATTTGGACACGCACAGTCTCTCACTCTACTGAAAACTTCTAGATTTGGGACCTGATCAATTGGTGCCTGGAGCATGTTGCCCAAGGGACCATGCCTGTAACCACTGCCCTTCATTGTCAGGGCCCCCAGCAACCCACCCTCCACACCATGATACTTCTCAGCTACATATCCGCTTAGTTTGAAAGCAGCCAGAAAAGCATGTACTACCCCAAAACTACTGTGCCTGATAAGTCTAGTTACTTTTAATGTTAGAGTGGCAGGCCAGGTAGCAGTTGGCAAAGTGATGGATGTTACTCCTGGTTGTTTATAAAAAAAACCTTTTAATATTGGTGGAAATAACATTTTATTGAATGAACCAGTACTGGTCATATCACTGCACAGTATCACATTAAGATACTACTTGAGTTCCTCAAAAAAGTTAAATATGGAGTTACCATAGGGCTTAACAATTCCACACCTAGGTATATACCCAGAAGAACTGAAAACATATGTTCACACAAAAACTTGTACACAAACGTTCATAGCAGCATTATTCATAACACCCAAGAGAGTGGGAATAACCCAATTGTCCATCCAGCTAGTGAGTGGATAAACAAAATGGATATATCCAAACAATGGAATATTACTCAGCTATAAAAAGGAATAAGATTCTGATACATGCTACAGTTTGGGTGACCTTTGAAAACATACTGAGTAAAAGAACCCAGACAACATCCTATATGATCCCATTTGTATAGAACATCCAGAATAGGCAAATCCATAGAGAAAGTAGATTAGTGATTGCCAAAGACTGCGGAGAGGAGAAATGGGGAGTGACCATTTATAGGTAAGGCGTTTCTTTTGGGGTGATGAAAATATTCTGGAATTAGATGATCATGGTGGTTGTACAACTTTGTGAATATGCTAAAAACCACTGAGTTCTTACACTTAAGGGTGAATTCTATGGTATGTGTATTATTTCTCAACAATCACAAAAATATGTATAAGAAATCATTGCTGAATAGGTAGTTATAGATGACTCAGTATCAGCTCCAAGGAATGGAGCTCATCAGCTCTCAGAAGTCCCAAGCATGGCGTGTGGTGGAAGGTAACCTCCTTAGTGACTTGTAGGAAAAAATTCAGTATGTAAAACAAAATTCTATTGTACATAGTTTAGTAGTAGTTTTAACCCAGAGGAAGAAAAACTGAAATGACATACATTTGAAAAAGATCATCTTATAAAAATGGTCAGTCAAGATTAAAATAGCACATGTTTAGGAGCAAACCCAAGTAACTCACACACACACAGATTAGTTTGGCACAACCCACTAGAAAAAGACCTTGAGGGTAGTAAGTGTCCACATCATACTGTTTACTGTTGAAGTAAAAATATTATGGGATGCTTGATAAAACGAAAACCAGAAAATAATATTTCTGTTATAGTCTTTGGTAGAAGGACATTTTTATCATCAGGGTTATAAGACACTGGGGAACTTACTAAGATCATAGAGTTACTTTTAAAGAAATCTTTAGGATATGCAGCAATAATATCCATGGAACTGAAATGGTTCCCTAGACAACTGGTTTCCAGACTGCACCAAGAGGAGTCCTAGAACTGAAAGATTAGGGAATCTCTGATTTAAACATTTGCTTGTTTTGTCCCCTTTTTTACTGTATCACTTTAATATTTGAAATGATTTAGAAATTTGAACTTCTCCAAAGTGGATTTCTTATTGCTAATTTCAGTTGTTTTCCTATCAGGATGGGCTTAGATTTCAAATAGGTTACTTATTTTTCAAAGTCTTCTAAAATTTTAGTTTTTTAAATTC